GGGGCTGTGGAAAGCGAGAGTACCCCCCTAACCGCGTGGCCCGGGCCGCCCCCGGCCACCCCATCCCCTCCAACCAACTAGCTTTCGATTTTCCCCGACGCGATGCTCTTTTTTCGAACGACCGGCGCGGGGGCGGGGGAGGGCCGGGGCATTTCGTGATGGCGTCCGTTTTGTTTCTTTGTCGTTTCGGGCAGTCCGACGGTCCGACGGCGAGGGCGGCGTCCCTTCGGCGTCCCCGGTCGGACGGCCGACACCCAACTCGGGTACCTCTCGCTCTCGCCTCCGACAGACTGACCCGAGAGTCGTTTTCGTCGCTCTGTCTCACTCGCATCTACACGGGACGCCTCATGAGCGCGAGAGAAACAGAGCTAAAGGACTCTCGGAATCAGTGCAGATGTCCTCGTCGCGGCCCTGGGGTCGTCCGGCCAGCGGGCCTGCACGGCCTGCAGCTGGATTCCGGAGAGCCGTCGGTCTGTCTCTGTCGCACGCGTGGGGCGTCTCGTGGGGGTGCGAGAGAGACAGAGATAAGCGCCCTTCCGAATGGCGCTGCTGGGCGTGGCCCCGGCGTGGCCCCGGCGTGGCCGACAAGGGCGTGGCGCTGCACAGCATGCTGGGTAGCGCAGGGGTGGCTGCGCCCGCTGCGGGGCGGGGGAAGGGGATTCAGCACTGGAGGGCACGGACCACGGCCCGCTGTGTGCACGGCGGGGCGGGGCGGGGCGGAGCGGAGCGGATTTCGGCCGCTCGAGGGGGCTTCAGGATGACGGGGTGGAGGGGTAGACGGGGAGCGGCAGGACAGGTCTCGCAGAGCGCGGCTGCAAGCACACTCATGGCGCACATGCATTCGCACTCCGAGCCATTAAGGACGATTAAGGATGCAGGAGGCCTAGGGGCAGCAGCCTAGACCAAGGCACTGAGACAGCGTGGACGGGGGTCGTCCGAAAAACACTTGCAAAGCGTGGCGGCCCGTCTGCACTAAGCCAGAGAGAGAAATTGTCGGATTCCCGAAATGGAGTGTAAACACAGACGAGCCTACCCCACGAGGGGCCCCTTGGACAGGGCCCTTCAGGCCCCACCCCTGGCTGCAGCCAGACACGCCAGGGCCCCACCCCAGGACCAGTCTGTTGGGGCACACCGCGCCGGCCGGCGTAAGCTCCACCCGCCCCGCCCCGCCCCGCCCCGCCCCGCCCCGCCCCGCCCCGCCACGCCCACGCATGCGCAGGGGAGGGTGGCGGCGACGCGGCGAGCGGGTCAGTAACCCCCGGGCGGCGCTGGCGGTGCCGGCGCGCCCTTCCACTCATCCCTGCCCGTCTCCCTGTACAACAAACTTCCAGGTAAGGCACGGCGATGGCGGAGGGGCTGAAGGGGACGCCTGTCTGCTTTCGCTTTGTGTCCTTCTCCCTTCTCCCCTCGTCCCGGCTCCCACCGCGTCAAATTTCTCCCGGGGACTTTCTCCCCGCGAAAGGGGAACTGAAAGCGAAAACGAGAGGCAGAAGTGGCGTTCCGCGCGGGGCGGGGCGGGGCGGGGCGGGGCGGGGCGGGGCGGGGCGGGGCGGGGCGGGGCGGGGTCCGGGCAGGCGGAGCCGGGGGGCGCGCCAGCATGCTGGGCTCGATGCTGGGTTGCCTATCGCGCAGGCGCTGGCGATGCAAACACACAAACAAAACGGACAGACAACGAAAACAGTCTGTATGTCTGTCTGTCTGTCTGTCTGCCTGTCTGTCTCTCTGTCTGTCTGTCTGTCTGTCTGTGTGAGCGGGCGTAAACCGCTTGGATCGATCCGGCGTCCATTGCTCGCCATTTCTTGCCCTTCATCGTCTGCTTTATGACCCCTCCAGTCTGCCTTCCTGCTGCAGTCTGGCCAATCTCACCAACTTTACAGCGCCCCGGTGCCGTCAACACATTTTTGTGCGGATGGTCACTCTGGCTGGGCAGAGGGCAAGAAACTCTCCAACGAGATGTGTACAAGTACCTGCTTTCGATTTTGAAAAAAAAATTTAAAAAAAACTTTCAAGGCCCTAATTTTAAAATTTCCGATTTGTTTCGATAGTAATCAGTTATGAAACGCGGAGCAATGCGCCAGCTTCGGGTTTTTAATAATAATCTGTATTTTCTTGTTGTATAATGGCATGAGGGCGTGACAGTGAATAACGGTGTGCGAGGGGCTAGGAGGTGTCTGAAGCAGCGACAATCCGTCCGCCCATCCTCCCCTCCAACCCCCGCCCCTTTCACCGCCCCCGACGGGTGTGGCGGGGGTGAGGCGGGGCGGGGCGGGGTGGGGCGGGGCGGGGCGGCCAGGGCCCCACGGCGGGCTGCCTGCCGTCCGGCACCAGGTTTTCGGAGGGGAGCTAACGATTTTCGCAGTACAGTTTGGAGCAAAAATGCATGCCAGCCAACGGCCGCCCGGGAGAAATGGTGTGCAGGCCAAGGGCCACCGCTAAATTCGTTCCCCAGCTGATTTACTCGACGTGTCGCGTTGTTTTTGTCCTCGGTGCTCGTTGCGTTCCTGTTCCTCAGCGCCTCCAAGTCCGCCCCGTCCCTAACCTCGCTGCTGCGCGTGCAGGGCCCAGTGTAGGGGCCGCGCGGGGACCGCGGGGACACGCCCCACGCCGCGGCACGGCGCGGCCCAGGGAAGGGCCGAAGGGTTAAATTTAGTAAGGGGGGCACAGGCACGCGTCGCGGCCCTAGGAGGCCCTTGGCCCTTGGCGCGGCTAGCGAGGCCCTTGTCCTAAGACGTCTCGCCTTTCTGTGCCACGGCCCGAAACGTGGCAGCCACCGCTTTCAGCAATTCGTCGCCCTGTCTCTCTCGCACCCACTCGACCCCACCAATGGATTCCTCGTTCGGAGAGCAATCCATTGATGGGGTCACACGTTCGGTTCGAGTCCTGTTTAGCGACTCTGGAGCTCAAAACGCGTCTGGAGTTTTGGCCGCCTGGCCGGCGAGCCGGCTGAGGCAGGCTGCGGGCGAGCGCGCCGCGAGGTTAGGCCGCCCGGGCCACGCCGCCGTCTGGCGGCACGGCGTGCTGCCGGCCGTCGGGCGCCCCTTTGGACCGGGCGGCTCGACTCGCACCGCTTTGCACCGCTTTATTTCGGCAGCCGAGGCGCGTCGCTCTTCGTTGTGACGCAACATGCAAGGAGGTGAGCCACTGCCCCAATCGGCTCGCGCTGCCACGCCGCCCCGCCTCACTTTCGCCTTTCGCCCGAAGAAAGGAACGCCGTCGTATTTTTAAGTCGGCGCAATCGGTCAGTCGCTGCGGCTGCCGCGGACTGATTCCGAGAGTCGTTTCCGTCGCTCTGTCTCCCTCGCACTCGCAGGGCTTGCCGTGCAGGTGCGAGGGGGGCGGAGCGGCGAAAACGACTGCAGTCCGCCGCGGCCGCTGCTGCATGGCACGGGGGCGACATTTGGGATGGACCTTCGGACCGACGGACCTTCACACCGCAGGGCCGGCAGCCAGCTCTGTCTCTCTCGCACCTACACGGCAAGCCCCATGAGTGCGAGAGAGACTCTCGGAGTCAGCAAGCAGGCCCAGCTGCTGGCGGCATTTCGGCGACGACGTTCGACGCCACGCTCGCGACCGCCGTGGCTTTTAGGTTGTTCCTGACGGGCCGGGTTTCCACCTCACAGTGTGGGTGTGGCTATTGAAGTTCCAGCATGAACTACTACATTTAATTTCGGTCGTTGATCAATACTTGGGGAAACTGGGCAGGCCCACACCTAGGCCCACGCCGGCGGCGCAGTGCTGCAGTGCTGCGCCGCGCGGCCTGCAGGGGCGCCACCGTCCCTGGCCGCCACGCTACCCCTCGCGAAGAGCCTCCCCCACGATCCGCGATCCGAGGCATGGCCATGCTCCCCTCCGAGTTGAGCCCCGCGTCGTCCGCCGCGCCCTCGGCGCCGGCCTCGCCCCACCACCGCCAAGCCCTCCGCGCTGCACCCACCCCCGCCAACCCCCGGCCCGGCGCCTCCGACTGCACCGCCACTGGAGGGGCCGGGCGGGCATGCCCTGCAGGGCCATGACCGCGCACGAGGTCGATGGACCTGCTTCAGGGCGGGGCTGGCGGGGCTGGCGGGGCCGGCGACGCGGCCGCAAGGGTAGGGTACAGGGTGCAAGGTTGCAAGGGTACGGGGTTGCAGGGTTGCCAGCTGCTGGACTCTGGACGCCGGCAGAAGTGAAAGTGCAGCTGCAGCCTCGGCCGCTTCCGAAACGGCACGTCACCGCTCTGCGTCTCAACCCAAAAACTCCCCCCTCCCCAGAAAAAAGCGCCCAGGAAGCGCAAAGAAGAACTAAGAACTTTTCGGCGTTGCGTCGTGCTTGGCTTTGGATACTGCCGCCGTGGTGGGTAGGCAACCCAACGTACTCGTCGACACGAAGAGAAGCCACCAGCCGGCCGGCAGGCGTGTTGGGTTGATGGACCCCGAGGCCTGGTAGGTTAAGAATTTGCCAAATGACTTATGTTAATTCAATTCAGAAAGTTTGTTTCGGGTCTGCTAATTTGTGCCGCACTTGAATGAAAATTCAAAACAAGGTCTGAAATATCTGGATGAAATTACTGGAGGCGGGATTTAATGAACTAATTGCGAGCACTTATAATTTGATTGTTTGAAATAAAAATCAAACTCTGTCGCCGAAACCTCGACAACTGTTTAACTCCCAACTAACAGGCAAGTCAGTTTGAATTTCCCCGCGCATGTAGCGCGTCGGTTTGTTTGTTCTCGAACCTTCCCCCACTCGTTGGCTGTGCGAATGCTCGCGCACTGCTACCAGAGTTCTCAGCCGCAGTCCTCCACTTCGAAAAACTCGAACCAAACTGCCAAACGAATCGACGCTGACGTTCGAGCGAATTAATTCGGCACGAGGTCGGTTCGCTTGAATTTTGGCGCCGCCGTCCGCGTGCTGTCGTGCCGCGGGCCCGGCGCGAGGCTAACCGAGAAGCCTTTTGCGCGACTGTACGCGACGTTGCCGCCTCGCTCCTCGCTCGATCGCCAGAGAAAGAGAGAGCGCCGAGCGGCAACGGCAACGGCAAACGGCAAGGCGGCGCCGCTTCATGGTCCGCCATATTGTGTAGAGGTGGTGCATGTCTCGTGCTCCCCGCGTGTATTTTCCGCTGTTTCGCCCGTAAGTTGAATTATCCGCGACTCGTCGTTGAATTTGCCGGTGCTTGCAGGACCCGTCGGAGCGTGCCCTCGGCAGCAGACGTCGCTTCAGGTACGTGCGACTGCCGTCTTGTGGGCCCCGAGGACGCTTATCTCAAACGCCGGCCAGGCGGACGGGCATGGCGACCCAAAACTTCGCTCAAACTGCTCGATTTGGCGACGACATTGCTCGGCAACGTTTCGTTGGCACGGTTTCCGAACGCTCATGTTCACTGGCGCTGTGAGGAGGTACTTGTTCAGCCCGTCTCGCCTCTTGACGCTCGCACTTTACAGTGTGGGAAAGCCTCGGGCGCCTCGGCGGGGCGGACAGGCGGGTGAAGCCCTTCTCATGGCCCCGTCCACCCTCGCAATGGTCGCAATAGCAGTCAGCCAGCTCTCCCTCTACTTTGCCGCAGAGCCAGCTCTAAACTTAACCTCAACTCACTTCGTAGCCGCCTTGGGTCCCGAGTCGTTACGCTCGCTTTGTTTTTAACCCGACTTTAGGCCTACGTTCGTCTGAAGGCCTCTCCCCCTCTCTCTCGCACCCAGTCGATTGTGATTATCATCTGCAGAGGAAGATATTTTTTTTCGCTATCTTTCGACGTGGCTTCCCTCTGGGGCTTAACCCTTTGCATTGTGAGTGTCCAGTGTTTTATTTAAAGTTATGTCCCGGAAATTTGGCAACCCTCCCATGTTTACCATTGCCCCCATCTGTATTGGTTTGTTTTTGCTTGCGTTGACACAAGATCTCAATGTCTATTGGCTTAATTACATTGCTGTAATTTGTGTCCTTTCAATATGTTCTCTCTCCTATGTTTAAGAAAATTGGTGCTGTTCCAATGTTGTGCAACCGTTTCTTGTGAATGAATGCCACCTGCTGTCCATTGTTTTGTTGTGGTTTTATGACATCAGGGCTTCCATTTCCCAGTGAATTCTTTTCTATTCATATTTGAGGCTATGTATTAGTTATTTTGCATTTTCAGTCTTGAATGGATAAAATTTTACAGTGTACTGGCTGCTAGTTTAAACTTGTCAATTGTGTATATTTTCAGGCATTTGGATTTAAATTAATTGATGTCAATAGGAGAATTTATGCTTATTTTCTACCACTTTTCTCGCAGCCAAGCACATTGTGTGAGTTGACAGCTAGACTACTTTATTGCGCAGTGCGGGTTGTCAGGTTGACAGTTTGGTCGCTCATTTGCTGTGACCATGAAGGAAACGTGTAGGTAGTGGGGACTGAACAGGGGATGGGCTAAGGGAGGGGCAGGCATCTTGCCTCTGACAACATCGCCGAAGTGATGTGTGTCTGGAACCTTGCCAAAGGGAAGGAAGTTTGTGAGTTGAAACAATTAGGTGTGTAAGTAGTTAGGTGTGGGCACAGGTTTCCCACCATGAGATGTGACACATGAAATGTGTCACAATTCATACACAATTCATACACAATTCATACAGTGCTGGTTGCTACATAACACTGAAAGCACTGGATCTATGAGTCCATGTTTTTGGTGCACTCCCCCTGTGTTGCCCATCAACCTCACTAAGTAACAGTGAGAGGCTCATGCTTGACAGAGCCGTTCGTTGAGCGTCCAACCTTAAACCTTAAAACCTATCCGGACTAGGGTCCCCCAACATCTGGACATAAGGAGGGCCCAATCAAAAAATGCTACGGGGTTGGTTTGGCATATTGTTGGCCTTCTCCTGTCCGCGCCGCACTATGGCAGGTATTTATTTGCGAGTGGCGTGAGTTGGGCCAGGCAGGCCGGGCATTGCCTGCCTCCGTGCTGGTCGTCGCGTGCTTTTGTTGACTGGCTCTATGGTCAGCAGGCTGTTTCCGAGAGTCGTTTTCGTCGCTTTCTCTCTCGCACTCACGGAGCGTCCCGTATAGGTGCGAGAGAGACGGGGCGACGAAAACGACGCTCGGAATCAGTCGTGGCAGGTTTCCCGACCAAAACACCGTTCGTACCTCGTGCACCTCGTGCCTCGACGCGTGACCGCATGAATGCACTGCACAGGTGCCAATTTTTCTCTCAAACTGTCTTCCCATAGTATGTCTTCGTCTGTCTAAAATTGAAACTTGCCTGGTTAGAGCTCCTCTGATCTAGCCCTGGCCACAGCACAGGGCGCAGAGCCGCGTAGCCTCATAGCACATAGGTCAGCCAACTTTGTTGGCACAGGCCCGGCAAGACACAACAAAAAAAAAAAAAAAATAGAAAAAAAGAAGTGTCAGGAGTTTGAGGGTGCCCTACTACTCGATACGCAGTAACGGTGACTGTATAAATGTATTGTATCAGTCGTAGTATTCCAATGCGCAGTTGAAATGGCCCGGGCCCGGCTTCACCCTTTGTATTTATTATTTTTTATTGCGAAGCAGCGTACCCGTTTCTGTTTGCCAACCAGCAATTTAGTGACCTTTTTTTGTTTTTGTTTTTTCCTTTTGGGGCCGAACTTTGCAGACTTTGGCTGCCTTCACGGCTTGCGTCAATCTATACTTCCCGTTGAATCAGACGACCAGCAACGGGTCGCGCACGTGGACGACCCAGCGGGAGTCCTTTTTTTTTCTCCCCTTTCTCGGTTTTCCTGTCGAGTTTCTTGCGCGCGCTTGTGCGAGTCCGTCGTGCTGTACTCGCTGTACGGCGCGCGGGGCGCGGAGTCGGTCATTCCCTCTCTCTCGCACACTGATTCAGAGTCGTCGTCGCTCTGCCTCCCTCGCACCTGTTCGTGGCGCGCCGTGCGTGCGAGAGAGACAGAGCGACGAAACCGACTCTCTGAATCAGTCTCCTGCGGGGGACCGGGCCTAAACTGGGTCCCTCGCGTGTCCGCGTCAGCGCGTCTATGACGGTGACTTCGGCGTCCCGGCGACACCATAGTGGGAGCGCAGTGGGCGCCGGCGGCCAAAACTCTAGACGCGTTTTGAGCCCCAGAGTCGCTGGACAGGACTCGAACCAGACATGTGACCCCATCAATGGATTCCTCATTCGGAGAGCAATCCATTGGTGGGGTCACACGTTCGGTTCGAGTCCCATTTAGCGACTCTGGAGCTCGAAAGGGGTCCGGGATTTAGACCGCCTCCACCGGTCTTCTGCCCCACTGTGGGGCGGTCGCTCGGGCGCGGCCCCTATTTGCAAGTCCGCTGGGATACACGGCCCTGCTGTTTGTCGCGGTGACTCGTTCCCTTCCTCGTTAGAGTTTGTTGCGTAATTTCCCCCTCCCCTCCCCGAGTCCCTTCGGTCCAGTCGCGGTTGCCTCTTGAACGTCGGACTCCTAATCTAATCCGGCCGAAATAGAGCTGCCCTTCGCGAAGCCCGTCGAGGTGCGTGCCCGGCGTTCCAGCGCCGCGTCGCCGACGCCGTCCTCACCTTCCCGGGGTCTTCCTCCGCGCTTGGCTGGCGCTGACCCATTTAGCGTGTAGTGTTTTCGACACCGCGAGCCACGTCGCCAGCGCCTCAGCTGCCTGGGCTGCGGGGCCTTGGCCGGCCTTGGCGCTGCCAAAGTCCAGGGGCGTCCTAGGGCCGCTCGGCGGCGAGGCGAGGCGTCCGCAAGGCCCCGGGGCCTCCATTCATTGCGACCGCCTCGCAGTGTAGTCCGGGCCGGCTTCCCTGGGAGACGCTCACACTCTGGCTGGGCGAACTTCTTCGCGGCCGGCCGCCCCGCTGCCTGAAAACGGTGGGATCGCGACCTGTCCGTCGGTCGAATGTGACCGCGCCCCGGCGCCTTGCCCACGGCGGCGCCTCGCCTCGCGGGCCTTCGCGGCCTCCTGCAGGCTCCATTCCGAACCGTGCTTTCCGTCTCTCTCGCACTCGCGGGCCGGGCCGCACCGGCTGGCGGGGCCGTATCGGCCCGGTGCGGTTCGAAACGGGTTGAGCTGCACTCGATTTGCGCAACGCGGTGCAAGGCGGTGCAGCGCGGCGCACAGGACCTAGCCACCTAGCGCAACGACCGGCCGCGCAGTGGGCCAGAAGACCGGCGGCGGCGGCCAAAACTCTAGACGCGTTTTGAGCTCCAGCGTCGCTAGACAGGACTCGCAGCGAACGTGTGACCCCACCAATGGATTGCTCTCCGAACGAGGAATCCATTGGTGGGGTCACACGCTCGGTTCAAAGCCCGTCTAGCGACTCTGGTGCTCAAAACGCGTCTAGAGTTTCGGCCGCCGCCGCCGGTCTTCTGGCCCACTGTGTTTCGTCCGTCTTTGTCTGGCGCGCCGTCGCCCTCTGCGCTCCGGCCGTGGAGGAAGGAATGGCTGCTGCCAGCCGGTTTGGCCTGAATTTGATCGAGTCGGCGCTTTTTATCGCACAGTGGCGGCGGCGGTGTCGCGACTCTTGGTGGACGTAGAGGCCCTTAGGGAGCGGGGTATCGGCTCACACACACCAACACTCACTCACACTCGCTCTTCGGCGAGCGTTGCACCTTGGCGTTGACGTCACCGGCCGTAATACCTGGTGCGCTGCCAATGTGCCGGCCGAGCCTGGCGCGGCCTGGCCATAGGCCTGGCCATAGGCCTGGCGCGTACGCATTCCTGCGAGTTACTTAACAGTGGCGTAGCGGCGGGCTTAAGGCCCGAAGGCGCTCCCTCTGCTTGTCTACGGCCGGACCGGTCTACGCGCTGCGGGCCCGCAGACTGATTCCGAGAGTCGTCGCTCTGTCTCTCTCGCACCTTGACGGGACGCCCCACGAGTGCGAGAGAGACAGACTGCGGGGTGGACGGGGTGGTTGTGCTCGCGATTCAAGTCCTCGGCGTGAGGAGGTTGGCCTTTCTTCGCTGCGCGGCACACTGGCCGGCACTGCCCCCTTTCGGCCGCTTGGCCGCGAGCCACGCGTCGTTAAGTTACATATGGGTGACGCCTTTTTTCGCCCGGTCTCTGCTTATTTTTATTCCCCGACTGGATCCGTTTTGGTGACGCAACGCCGACGGGCGGTCGACGGCGGCCCCGTGCGCGCCGCCGTGCTGGCCGACGGACTGGTCGAGGTTGGGCGCGGTTCGAGTCGTTAAATCTGGCGAAAAGGGCGCTGCTCCGAGTTTTGGCTGACGGCTCGCCTCGGGTGCCGTCGCCGCCGTCGTCACTGTCCCCAAGT